GTGGGATCCGAACCCTCGGCGGGAGCGCAGCCGCACTCTCAAGCGGCGCACTGTAGCAGTGTGCCACCGGGCCGGCCCAGAGTTTTTTCTTTTAAACAGGTAACTGAAAGGCTAGCCTAAACACTAGTTTTCCTAAGAAACAAATATCAAATTTAGCATGAATGCAATAGCTGGGTTGAATTCAGGAGGACGTCACCCCCCAATAAATACAAAATTGTAGCCCAGTAACAATGACAGCACAAGGTTCTTTCTGTTTCAACCCAGCTGGCCTAGTTTACTTCTCTGAAAGTTCTTCTGAGAAATAAGGGCATTTTTAAGTATCTCATGGCTTGGCATGAAACAGTCTGCAGCCTGATATCCCACTGTATTTATGCCCATAAAACCACCATCATTCCCTGCCCTAGACATATGAACTGTTAGCATGTGTTGTCCACGGCAACAGTAACTTCTTATGACATCAGAAAGAGAAGAACTCCTAGACAAAGCAACCTTATCACTGCAGGTGCTGGTCACCCATCCTTTCACATGCTGCATAAGAGAACAAGCATGTCACTTCTTTCACAAGTCAGAAGCTGACAGTAATAAATCAGACCTTGACAAGCTTCATGGGGCCTTACGAGAATAAAGGGTATGGGAATATAACAGTAACTCTTTAAAAAACACCCATGTTAAGTGTTTTAGACACAAGGGTAGGAAGAAACTGTCCTTTCTCTATAACCTCATTTTTCTTTTCCAGTGTTGACATAACCTACCACCTAATCCATATTCTTTGCCTGTTCCAAATTCCAAACCTCACATCATTCCACAATTTCTTGGGCTCTCCTCCTCCTGTGGCCCCAAAGCTGGAAGAGAAAGGCAGGGAAGGGCCTCTCCTGAGAAAGCTTGGGAAAGCATTTGAGGCAAGTCTGGAAAAGGTTGCCTGGAGACCAGATGATCTTGAACTTTAGTTGTCTTGGCAACAGTGTGGCTCTTTCTATTGTACCTATAAGGTTAACACTAGTTGTCAAGGGCTAGCAGTGAATTTCCTGACTCAAAATGGACATTCTTCTATAATCAATGATGCCATTCCCCAACATAATAACCTTATAAATACTTAATAGATTCTTGCCAATGTGATGGAATTGGAAAGTCAGAGTTTAGAGATCAGAAGCTAAAGATTACATAAAATCTATACAAATTCAACTTTAAAATTCTTCTCCCAATTATTCAGAACTGTAAGTATAGACAATCATAGTTAAGTCAATATTCAATTCCCTATTATTCAATATTAATTCCCCTATTCAATAGGAATCTGAGCATCTCTTTCCTTTAAACAGATTTACCTGCTCAATGAGGGTATGCTCTGCCTATAGGTATCTGGGCTGCTGCTACTGTGGATCCTGAGCAAAGGAGTGAATTGAATGGTCAAGAAGTAGGAAATAACCTAGCTAGAAAAAAAGGGACTGGGGCCTGAACCACAATGTGGCTGAATGGCAGGGGAAATGATCTTGTCAGCAGGGAGGGAGAATAAGGAAATCACTCCAGGCACATATGGGCAAGCCACAAGGACAAAAAGTGGCTGCAGATCTCCCTTTCTTTCTCTCTCTCTCTCTCTCTCTCACCTACCTGCACACACACACTCTCTCTCTCTCTCTCTCTCTCTCTCCAAACTCTCATTCTTTCTCATTAAGCACATTTCCATCTCTCTCTCTCTCTCTCTCTCTCTCTCTCTCCAAACTCTCATTCTTTCTCATTAAGCACATTTCCAAATCCACATTTTCTGTTCAATAATGAACACGAAAGGTAGCACCTGGACTTCCTTTGAATTCAATAGTGCTGCATTAATCAGGTAAAACCTCATAAATAAGACATATCTAATAACTTTTGAAAAGAATACTAATGGCATTAAAAAGAATAAGGCATATATTATTTACTAATATAGAAAGATAACCAAGGATGCATAGTTAAGTGAAAAAAGCAAACTGTAGAATAGTATTGCTATAGATTGGATGCCCCCAACCTCACTGAGGCTTAATCCCCACTGTAGCTGTTGAGGGTGGGAAATCCCTTTATGGTAATTGAAAGGCAAGGACTCGAAGAGATGATTAGATTGTGGGACCGTGCTGTAGTGAATGGATTAATAATGGTGGTCAGGGGCGTGGTTCTGAGGGCTTTAAAA